CATAAAACCTTATCAAACACAAATAAATAAGGTTTTACCAAAGTAGCAAAAATCCAAGTCCTTTGAATTTTTTCTAGCACATTTTAAAGCTGATAAACCTCCGCTTCTTCTCGCTTTCTCGCTTTGCTAACTCGCTTTCATCTCTCTAATCAGACCTTGTATGCACAAAAGTCTACTGAAAAGTTGTACCACTTCTAGCTGCAAGCAGTTTCTTAAAAGTTCTTCTGTTAAAGAAACTGTAAAAAGCAATTGGCAAACACGCATTTTTAACACACAGTAGCCCTCTTGGCAACATTTACAGATATAATGTTTAAGCAACAGATTGAATTACTCTAAGTCAATTTTAGCTTTCTGGCGATAAGCTTTACAGATTTCTACAACTCTTCTTTAGTATGGCAACTTAAGACGTAAAATGCATTTACCATTGTAAGCAGTATTCTTTTCAAGTTGTTCATTTCCGCACTGAATTTTCATCATTTATGGTAAGACTTTCTAGCTAGTTTTCAATACCAAGGTTTTTAAAGTAAAAGCAAACATCAGGTAAACGAATTAAGCGAGAAAACCGAAAATTAGCAAAAGAAGTCAACGTACCTTCGTGAAACAATCAAGCAATTAACATTTATTTGCAAAAAAGATATAGTCGATTAAAATTTAGACAAACTTTTGCATAAGTTGTAAAGTATTTTACTTGTTGAAATTAAATTAACTGCCATTACAATTCTACTAAGCCAACTTGCTGTCCACCATTCCGTTTCACAGTGACTTTGTGCCTTTGTGAAAGCAGACAACGAACTACATACCGTCGCTTGCAGACTTCTTTCCTGCACTGCTTCAAAGAAGAATTCTAAATGATGGTTTCTTAACAGTGCTACCAGCTGCATTCAGATCGCTGCCAGTTTCAGCACTAATCAATCGTCTTTTTTTTTCTGCTTCATGTGTCCTGTAAACTCTAACTTTTCCCGCTCACCAAATTTCTCTCAATTTTTCTCATTGCATTGATGCTTCCACTAACTTTGGGCTCCATTAAAAACAGTTTATCAGATAAACTATTAGGGTAAAGTTTACGCTAAAATTTGCTTCTAAAAAACGTTTTCTTCTTATTCTAAAGCAGGCAGCAAAGAAATATTTAGTTGTAGCAAATTGTATCGTATAAATATGTACCCCACAAGCAACATACTCTGACTTTAATTCTACTGCATTGGTTACTTCTGTGTCCCGTGATCAAAAAGCCAACTCTGGAGCAAAACTTCACCAAAATGCACTGCAGTCGTCTTACTGGTACACCTGAATGATCTCAACGCTGGCAGCATTTCATTTAGTCTTTCACAACGAAAAACAGAAAATTTTGTTAATTCAAAAACCTTGATTAAGAAATCAAGTTTTAAACAGCAGAGTAAGTATAAAAATACAGAAAGCAGGAAACTCTTACACTTTTTTAAGAAATAGCTTAACGAATACATTACATCTTTTTATCTAATTTATTAATTACCGCAAACTCAAAAACTACACCACTTATCTCCCAACGTTTCAAAAAACTTTGAGATATAAACGGAAAAACATAGTTGCTCGATACGAAATTAAGTACTCGAAAAAACTGAGCATTCAAAGCCTATTCATTATTATACAACAAGTAAAAAGATTTATCTAAGTACTTTATGAGGAAATCAAACAGGTTATTTGTCTTTATACTAAAATTGCAGCAACTTTTACGCACCAATATTTTTATACTGCAATACATACCAGTTCTGTCAAGTATTGCATATTTTTGTGCCAAAAATTGTCTGACTCACAGCCCACAATAACCGCTTTCACAGACACAATTCATAAGCCTGATAAAACACCACAACAAAAAATAGCTGCAGTGGGCTCAGTTATACATAAAACAACAAAGACTGAAAGTTTCCAAGGAAAGTTTAAACTTAAACTTTAAGGTTTTTGGGAATTAAGTTTATAATAATATAGAACATCTTCAATTATTCCAAGAACGCTTTCTTCACAGTTTTTCATATATTCCTCTTTTTTGTTTGGGAACTTTTCCTCTATCTGCACAGCAGACATTGGACCAAATACTACCAGAATAGCGACCATTAAGAATGGCAGACTTTGGATCACCGAATCTTTCAGCTAAAAGTGAGTATATATTGAAAAACATAAACAACGCTTTATTTATACAGCCTTGTTAGAAAAACCGTTTAGTTTGTTGATTTCCAAAATTTTATTTAATGCGTGAAGAACTTGATAGGCAGAGTAAAATTT